GTGATGCTGTACATGTCATGCATGTTATGATTTTCATATTAACACTTGTCATTTCTGTTAGTTGTGCAGAAATGTGTCGCCATACCAGTTTTGGTATCTATTAAGTTTACGAAATGGCCACAAAAGCACAAGTATATAGATAGATAGATAGATAGATAGATAGATAGATAGATAGATAGATAGATAGATAGATGGATGGATAGATAGATAAATAGATAGATAGATAGATAGATAGATAGATAGATAGAATAGATAGATAGATAGATAGATAGATAGATAGATAGATAGATAGATAGATAGATGAAGTTTGCTAAGAGATATTCCGCACTTAGAAGTTGGATGCGGCAGCAGACACCTTCAGGATTTTGAAGCGCCAGGTATTGACTGTACTTTACAATGGGCGCCACTGTAGAGTTCATGCATCCCGCAGGAGTACGGTCAATAACGTGGGTTCAGTCTTTGCGAGCCGCAAGGCCTCCATTCCCGTCGCCTCGCGTGACTAACGTCGCTGCACACGCGCGTTTCGACACCCAAGGCGCCGAGCGCAGCGCAAGTACGCAGTAGTCCTCCCAAATAAGTCGCTACAATTTATTGCCTTCGGCAACACAACAACGCAGTACAGTGCTCTTTGCAAAATATGGTAGGAAAGCAAAAGAGTCTTATCCACTCTACGAGCGAAAGTAGAACACACAGGCGTCGTGAGCACGTCTCCGTGGGCAAAAAGGATCACGGTGACACGTCGCCGAGGGGGAACGGTTCCACGCGACTATGCTGCGTGCTCTGACGATCAGTGACCACAGCGCCCGAGCTCTCATGCGAAGGTACGCTCCGCTAGCGTTTTCTTCGGTAGGTACGGCTTGGCATAGTGAGACCATGCACCAAGATACCGCTACGCTCTTCGGCATAGCGTTCGGGAGGGGCAGCGCAAGTTAAGCGTTTGGCGCGGGCGCAAGTCACCGTTAGCGAGTCTGAGGGAACTCCAAGAACAAAGCGGTTGACGGACGGGAAAGAAAAGGCACGCTCATTTTTCTCTGCCGAGAGGGTATCTCCCTCGTTCCCGCCGAGGGAGTGGCGAAACGTCTCGCGAGACTCGAGCGCGAAGCCAGAGTCGAGATCCTCTGCCGAGTAACAGCGGTGAACGTCACTCCCGCTCTATCTTCACAGTACATGTGGACGACAGAAATGGGAGAAAAAGCCCGCGTAATGGTGATGCACTAGCCTGAATGCAAAAAGATTAAACTGTATGAATAACCAGAACGCGCTTACGATATGGCTGATGAAAAATACTGGCACGATAGAGTCATACCAGAAACGCTCCACAGTCGCGAGCTTTTTTGAATCACTCAGAGTGGTGAGCAGCCCTCCATTGTTCACCAGCAGCGAGTTGCGCCAGGCGAGCTCAACATCAATTTGGCGGCCGATGGTGTGCATACATCATCGCACTATCTAAATACACTGTGTTTGTTGCTTGGGACGACTGCACAGAGCGAGATCGCTAACGTATGCTCCATCAAAAGGCCTGTTCAAGCGCTGCACTATACAGCATTGTCACGTATTTGTAACAGTGAAGTGTAGTAGTGAGCATGCGTCTGACGTCGGGTCCGACGGCAGTGACCATGCGCATTTGTTGTCCTGACTTGCAGCGACAGTGAGTCATCACTGTCTAATTGTGTCGGAAGCCTTGTGGATAACAAGTATATAATGCAGCGGCCAAATGACGCATAGAAGCTGGGAAGAGCAATCGTTATCTGACACCATGTGTTAACCACCACGAATAACGACGAACTTCTCACCTCAACATGGTTCTTGACAGCCACGCAGCCATTGCTTTGGTAGACACCCAAGCTCACTACTTAGTTATGAGTTAATCTATTGTCACCCTTGGAAAGAAAGTTCGTACGAGGAGCTTTATCATATTCCATTTGATGGAAGATAATCAATTACCGTTCATTAGCGTCTATTATAGCCGTTTGAACTAAATCAAGAAGCAGCAAAAGTACTGCCTGCTAAGGACAGAGCGAAACCCTCTGAAAAGGCTGTGAACTGCAAAGTACAGCATAATAAATAGCATGTGACTCTTTTCGAAGTGTTCTGTCTTGCCCTGAATACGACTATAAAGACTCACTCACAGTGAATTTTTGTGGGTAAGAGACGGTAGGCTTTAGCAGAGTGTCATGATCCTCTTACGAAGAGTAAAATTTCTCGTATTCAAAGTATCACATCATCGCCTCTGAGAGCAGTAAGGTGGTTCTGGCTGGCAACACTCCTACGCGGGTCAGGTCACACCTATCGAAGCATCAAGCGACTCTACCACAATTGTGGGGTATTATTCGAACCATGCTCTTCTTTTTCGTGACTAGTGTTGGAAATAGTGAAGTATTCATTCTACGCAATAGCAATAATACTTACCGTTACACCGAGTGACGACAAGTAATAATAGTTCAGTTTTATCAATACTTTAATAAAACTCCTCGAAAGAGTACAGCTTTTTCCACAGAGTAATATTAAAGCATAAAAAATGGTCTGTAAATTCCGATGAACCAGTCGAGGTAATCATGCGTTGTGTTCTTCTATAAGCATAGCCAACCAATATGTGTGTTTATCATGTGCATTTGTGATTTCATGAAAACAAACTGCAGATATTTGCATCATGTTCCTATGTAATCTTAGTGAATAAATAGAAAAATGGAGATGGAATAAGGCATCAGACCAGTGACTTCATTGTAGTCAATCTTCTTCACTGTGAGCCCCCCTGAAGAGTGATACCTGAAAAGCAAATGATATTATGATGAAAAAACATACTCGTATTAAAAGTTTGCAAAAGCTACTAAATAAAAGATTTACAGAGACATGACAAGCGCTCGCAACAAATAAGCAGTAAAAAAGCGTGTTAAAAACTATGTTTGTTTCCGCTATCATATAAAACATTAACTTTTGTAATAACTCCCAAGGCAACACACTCGCAGCAAAAAATAATGTGAGCCTCTTTGAAACAACAACCGCAATTGGTTTAGGCTTCTTTGGTTGGATGCCACTCTGCTCCTTTTCTATGTTATCTTGCTCAACGAACCAAAATGTCAAGGACCCACCGTCTTTTTGACAGGGCGAATACCGCTCTCGGTCTTTCCACCACGAGCAGTGAGACATCAGAAACCAGCGACACCTTCGTTTTCACGAGGACAAATGTCAAGTGAAGTAAAGAGGTGCGAGAAGCAAACTGGTGTTGTGTGGAATAACCGACGCATATATACCCTGATTATTTGTATTGAAAACCACCGTTTCTTCAACAAACCGTTACCGTTGATCAACACGCCTAAGACCAGTGTTTTGTTTTAAATAACTATGCAAAGAAAGCAAATTTTCCCGTTAAAGAACGCGAGAAGCTCGTTTCGCAAGAGGTTATAGTGACGGCACGAATTGAAAGCACTTCTTTTCAGAGAAATCGCTTCGAAATTTTCATTCATACCATGCCTGGCGTTGAGCCGGCATATTCTGATACCTAGGCGCATCTTCCGGCCGTCAGTGGCACGCCGTGAGTGGGTACTGACCACGCGATTTACGAACATAAGCCACACCTAAATACCAGATAAGCACATGTGAGTGCGGGAGAGACACGGAGCGCGCGCGAACGCTATGCGTCAAGGTTGGATATGTCCTATGCTAGACTAGTCGTTGCAGTCCCGTACAATCCCTCAATTTCGTTGTAACGCAAAGCATCAACACAGATGTATGCTTCGTCGGATAAATTGGTCACACATTCTGAAATGGGATCAAAAGAATCGACTGACAAGAAAAAAAGATGCAGGTGAATCTGGCCGCTCAGCTATCTCAAGCAAATGCATATGCGTCCGTGTAACTTCTGTCTCTCGTGAATCGAGCCAGAAAAGCTCGCACTATTTATTATAAATAACTGTAGTAGTTTCACGGCCAAAAACAACGACATGATTATGGAGGACGCTCAAGTAGAGGGTTCAGGAACTTTCGACCACCTGGTGTTCTCCAACCTCTGTAAGTGAACGGGTATCCTGTGTTTCTCCTCGATGGAAAATGTGGCCGCCACCTCGATGAAAAGTGTGCACCTAATGCTAAGTACACGGGCGTGAAACATTTTCGCCTCTATCGAAAATGCAGCCACCGTGGCCGGGATTTGATCCCGCCACATTCGGATCAGCAGTTGACTGCCATAACCTCTAGACTACCCTGAAAAACAGCTCGCCGTAAAAAAAACTTTTAGAACGAATAGTTCAGATATTTCAGATGCGTGCTTAAGCTCCCTCTAGGTTACTTCTGTCAGCAGTTTGTGTTTCAACAAATTGATATTTGCGGCTCTTGCAAGTGTTAAAAAAACCGAGATAAAAGATCTTTTCCAACTACGTGCAGACATCGGTGCAGTTTACTGGAGTTTAAGTATTCTGCATCTTTCCACGTCCACGTCCCGCAACCACTCCTGTCACATTTTTAGACGTATTTATTTACCTGTACGTGGATATGAACTGCTTGCTCGGTAAAAAAATTATTTTGATTTCAATCTCGTGATTGGTATTTCTTCTAAGCAAAACGCTTATGTTCACACCCCTGCATGAATGAAGCAATGAGTCGCCTCTTTAGGTGTGCGTTTCAATGCGAATATAACATTTTAGGAGTTCTATTTCTAACAGAGTTGGAACATTAACAGCGAAAAAATTCGGACTGAGGAGCATTAAAGCAGCCTGTTTTGTGGTACACCAACCAATTGTTGCCAGACAGAAACCTTTTTTTTTCTGTAAAACAGCGTTGCGAAGTGCCTTCGATAAGGCTGACTGAAGGAGAGCAATCCATGTCCAAACCGCGATAAGGGACTCAGTTTTGTTGCGGTGGCGTCTTATCGCTGTAGCCTACACAAGCGAGACATGAAAGCTGAGTCTGAAGTTTATTTCTACCCTGAGGGCGTCGCGAACCCAAATAACTGCTGTTTGTATTTCTTCTCGCCACCGGGCTTCGTTCTTCCGCCTTGTTTCACTCTCCCCCGTGTTCACGAACGCTCCTCGCGTCAAATTCCGTCCTTCGCTTCACAGAGCTAAGCTCTGCGCCGTTGTTCGACTGAAAATGACGATTCGCTTCTCAAGAATCGCTGCAGACTATCGCTGATATGCAGTGGCTTGCTCTGCCTAGAGACGGCGCTCCCATCGACTTTCTCAAGTGAAGGTGAAGCATTGTGCAAACGAACGTTCCAGAATACGGGTGTAGTATTGCAGAATTTGTGCAAGCGCTAACTCACGATGAAAGCCCGCATACAAGACGGAGTTGTGTACTCTCCTTTTCCCAGCACGGATATTCCTTCTTGTTCAGCCTACACGGTCATCGAGGAAGCTCTATCCAGAAATCCGGAACGGGTGGCATTTGTGAGTTATTTCATTGTATCTTTTCACGCTGCATTGCAAGGCCTGGTGAACGGTAGCTTTCAATACTTCACTGCTGTGCATTTTCGAGAACATCGGACCGAAGTTTCGCCACAGTCTTGAAGAAAGATGTTGATGTGTAGCAATGCTGCGTACGGACAGAATCGCACTTGTCTAGAGCCGCGGAGCGCAGTGCCTGTGGACGCTGTTTTTCCCGACCGCTGCTATCTCACGTTAGCTACACGCTTCCCGTTCGCACTTCAGTTAAATGACTTAGTATTCAGCATAATTATGTTAGGCATAATATACGGCAGCATTCTTTAGAACATTCTGCAGAAAACGGCAGCTGAAACGGCCCAGCTGTCCGCTTCAGACGTACATCAATATTCCGTACGTGATATTCCGTACGTCAATCGCTAGGCTGTCTATTTATTTTCTGCACACGAATGTCACAATAATTTGTAGTAGATTACAATATAAAATTAACACGCGTTGTTTTGATTGCCAGAGTTATACATTGCTTGCGTGGGCGGGAGTTTCGGTTCCGGCTTTGTCGCAGTGAGAAAGAACATGTGGTGACTGCAGGTGTTGTTCTAGCTCCTCATTTTTTTTTCTATCTGTGGGACTTCTCACAAGAAGTGTTTAGTATATCTAAATATTTATGTCCATGTAATCGTGGCTTTTAGGTTCTAGTTTTGCTTAGTGTAGAGAAGTTCGCGATGACTGAGGTCTGTGGATTCGTCCAATTTTTATACTGACTGAAAGCATATCCCAGGGAGAGCAGCTTTTGTACGTGAAATGACGCTTCCTTCTTTTCACGGTAAGAACCATAGATTTATGGTCTGTAACGTCATCTGAAGACGCTTTATGTAGTAGTCGGAATTTTCAGAAAAAACGATGACGTCTTGAGTAGACCAGACAAAAATGGTAGTTCAGGCCTACCTGTAGGGCATCGATTAGTGCGTTGTACTGATGCTGTGCGCACGAAAATCGGAGGCGCCGAACAAATAGCGAATGACATGACCTTAAGCTCAAACAGGATATCTAGTGTTGCCATCACAGTTCCTTCTCAATCTGTCTGTGTGACTTTCAGTTTGCCAGTAACCTGTCATGAAGTTCATCGACGAGAAATACCTTGAGTTGCGTAGCTGATCCGCAGTGTCGTTTGGCTGTAAAAAAAAAAGATACGAGTCATCGCGGATTGCGTTGATACGGTGGTGGTAGGTGCAGAATCGCAAGAATGCTATCTTAGAATGGACGCTTGGGGCAAGTCGGACGTGGTTATGTATTTTTAAAATGGGCAGCTCAAAAAAAAAAATAGGGCCCAACAAATATCGCGCCATGCCTTCTCACGAATAACTTTATTTGAAAGACTGCACAAAATTTAAACCACGAACAAGAGTCGCATGCTCGTGCTTGATTGATAGTCAAACAAAATACAGAAAGACGTGTTCCTACAAAGATCAGAAACAGCTCGTAAAAAAGTGCTAATATGCGCGCAACGTACTAAGGGCTGAAATGATTGAACGAAAAAATTCATGGCTATTTATTGCTACTGAGATCGTGCTTACGCATTGATTGCCTTTTTTTTTTGTTAAAGGGGCCCTGCAACACTTTTGGAGCGTGGTGAAAAAACGCCGCCCATCGGTAGTAAGGCTCCCTACAACACACGAGCCGAATATTATAGCGCACCCCACGGCCTGTAATCCACAATGAATGATAAGAGTGGGCTACAAATATAGCTTTCTGTTCTCTCTACAAATCACGGCATTAAACCTAGTAAGCTCATCTATGAGCCATTGGCTGATTTGAACACGGCGCACTCGGTCATTACAGAGATCGCCGCGGGAGGCCACGACTTGTCCACGCACGTGCGCGATCACCCTGAAACAGCTACGCATTCAAAAAAGAAGAATAAAAAGTGCTCAAAGCCAGGAGGCGCGAGTAACGTGTTTTTTCCCCTTTCCATCACTCCCTGCTTAGCTTCTAGTAATTTCGTCGTGACAAGAAAAGAGAGAATGCAATTGCAGTATGCGACAAATCTTTGTAAGTCCACTCGCACTGAACGAATTCTTAAAATTTTTGTGCCGTTGAATTCGTAAGGCAATGAGCTTTTCCAATGAATTTATTCCGTGGTTGCTCAAAAAAGTGTTTCAGGGCTCCTTATATTGATGAGACTAAACAATGTCTCTTGTACTCTGATTTTTGTGCCTGAAGAACCAAATGTCACAAAAATTAGGGGTGCATCTGCGTTATGCACGGTGACAGGCGACATGTGAGTACGCGTTGCCTTATAGCGAACGCTGATGTTCTGACCTCACATTGAAACAACGGCCTTTTTTTTCAATGTACACATCAGCACAGGAAAAACGAGACCTGTATACTAAAGTAATGCCTTGTACAAACGATGGCGTAAGCTGGGCAGCCTTTTTTTTTTTTTTGTCGCACGTGACATTTTTTTGCCAGCTTGTTTTCAACTCTACATCAAGTGTTATGTTCTTTTCTCTGCTCCTAAAAAATGAATAGCATTGGTAGTATAGCTAAATAGAGGCTGGTGAAAAAAAAAAGATGACCGAAAATTCTTTACCGTAAAGCACACTTCACCGTTTGTACCGTGAACAAAGCGATTTGTACACTGAATTGGGCTTCTCTGTGGTCATGTACACATTGAAAACACTCGCCATACACTGAAAACAAGACTAGAGAGGGACAACCGCTAAGAAAACTTGCTAGCTTCGAAACTGGCTGGACAAGCATTCTCTGAGGAAGAGACCGAAGGGGTCTCAAAGTGTAGGGTCAGTTTTTATTGTTAAAAACTGTAAACTAAGTGTACCTGGATAGTCTGATTATTCATATAACTTTACCCAGCCAGACAGATCTGTATATATGTTTACCTTTAACAAATATTTATATACGTGCCATTGCTTGTACGTAAGTCTGGCACATCTTCGGTTAGAAGTGGCTCTCAGATTTATGTCAGATACCCATCCTGCCAGCAGTTAAGACGTTAAAGGCATAAAACGTTGTTCTGCATGCCTATTTTGACCGTATTTTTAGTGATTATGAACGCCTCCTGCAATGAATAATGTGGGCCTGAAATTTGATTTCACGCAGATTGAAGGTTCAATCAAAACAACTAGAGCGGAGTTATTAGCGCTCATGAAGCGCTATGCCGTGGGTTTCCAACAGCAAGGCATCAATCCGGGGGATCGTGTGTGCGCCCACCTAAAGAACAGTCTGGAAAACCTTGCGGCAATGTACGGCTGCATCTTCGCTGGAGCAACACTGGTGCTGGCGAAGACTTCCCTCACTGAAAGTGCGTAGCCAATGGGTGGCTGCTAATACACTCTTAGAAGTAAAGAGAGAAGAGGGGTTTGAGGTTTCTCTTTTAGAGGAGTAGCTAACCTGCCACACCCATTCGTCCGTTTTCGGAGCAACTGTGGAGGGACCTCTATTACTCCCTCCTCTCCATGGTTACTCCTAAATAGAGCAACAGTTGATTTTGGCACAATAGGAGAATTGGATTTTCGTTGAATTAGCTAGAATATTTTCAGTGTGCGCACGCATGTGATTAGATGTACAATCGGCATGCAAGCATTACGTTGAGAAATAAATTTCAGAATATTGACAGGAAACAGGGGATTTGAGTTCGCGGCTACTGAGTCAGCAAGCGTGTACCACACCACGTTACGGCGCCGCTTGGAAACAAACTCGTATATGTAGGCACTGGGGGGGGGGGGGTGTCGTTTGCACACGGCGCGAGTACTCCTGCAGTTACTAAAAAGGGGGGGGGGGTGCTTTCCTTCCTTGAAGGGGAAAGCGCCCTTCTATGCCTGCCTTGCGCAAACACTTCTAAACATGTTTTCGTTTTTTTTTTTGGGGGGGGGGGGGGGCAAAGCAATCTTTTTGGTGCACGAAACTGGCCTAATTTGAGTGTAGGTGCACCAATGTTTGAGCAACTGTAGATAAAAAGATCTGGGGAGATGTTTGTGCAGCCGCTAGAAGGACTGCAAAGACGCGGTGGAAACAGTTCAATGAAGGAGATTGCTTGCGTCGCTTAAGAAACAATGAACAGCATGCGACAGGTGCGGGAAGAGGCAGCTCGCATAAGTAGAGGAGCAACAGGAAGTAAGAAAAAGAAGCGTTTTGGATGGACATCCGAACCGCACAAGGGGCAAACCTGTAGGTGGTATCCCCGTCAGCGCCTGGCATATTTCCAATAAACAGTTATTTTTTTTTCACTGTTGTGGTGCCTGCTTGGGGATTAATAAAAAAACCCAGAAAGGAATTAGCGTGAGTTGCTCTTGAGGCGCAACGGTAAAGAGACTGTGGAGCTAATGGGGAGCTTAGAACATAGTGATGCAAAGCCTGAACTATTTTCGTAGCTGATCGGTGGCCCTATTTGTTTCTTTTTTCCTTCATCTTTTTATTTTCTATCTTTCTTGTCAATTTCTACTTATTTCATTCTCATCTCCTTGTCTTTCTATTTCTTTCTCTTTGGTTTTGCGTTCTTTTTCTCGCAATTTTGCACTTTTTTTATTTTCTTTCTTTTTATGTCTTTCTCTTTTTGAATTTCTTTTCCTTCGTTTCTCTCTGTCACTCTTCGCAAGAGTCTTTTTAGAACACGTTGTATAGCGTTCAATAATTGGCTACACACTTTAAAAAAGGTAGGGAAATATTATCAGTGTCATCATAATTACTTCAATGTTCTATGTCTCTTTTTGACCTTGTGTAATGAACTTAGGATCATTTTGTACACACACACACACACACACACACACACACACACATATATATATATATATATATATATATATATATATATATTAGAGGAATGACACAAAAAACACCGTCCTTGCTGATTTGTCTGACTTCACTATTTCCTTCCTCTAGCCGAATATGTGCCCATTCCAGAGCCCAGCGACTCTGTCATCCTTAAATTTGGCCAAGACTGCGACGTAGCATGACCAACTGTCCAACCAAACCGTCTCTGGTGGGCGTCA